TCAGTCTGGTGCTGTCTCCTTGCCCTCCTCTGCCCTCCCTCCCTGTTCCTACCCTCCAGACCTGTCATCCAGCTTGGCCAATGCCAAGCAGGGAACAGTGCTGCTGACACCAGATAAGCGACACACAGAGATGCAGGCTCAGAAAAGGTCTGCAAGGAGTCAGCCCTTCCTCCTGGTGCATTATGGTGCTCCCTTCCCTCTGCATCTGTGTTGAAAGAGCAAGAAATGATGGAGATTCACAAAGACATGTCTCATTTCTCTAAGCACAGAGCAGATTTGCAGATGTGCTTGATCTGGACATTCCCAGGACAGTCAAGAAGACCAGTGCAACCCCAGCTGGTGTTCCTTCCCTGTCACCCCAGCTGCAGTGGTGACTGGGCTTCTCCATGTGTCTTAATCCATGTGAAATTGATTCCATGGAGATGACAATAAAACTAGGCTAGCACTTAATGGATTAAGTAAAAGATCTCAGCCTGGTGAGTATCACATTGGAAACTGGCCAGGGAAGTGGTGTGGCACTGATCACACACTGAGAATCTCTCTGTGTTCTCCATAATCATTATCCTATTTTAAAATAAGGATAAGATCAGCTGGACCTTGCTGCCAGCTCCCACAGGACAATCTGGCTCTGTAATGTCAGTAAAAGAGTCTATCTGCTGTCTGCATCTTCCTCTCCTATTTCTGTTCAGGGTGAAGTATCTGTATTGCAGTCTTTCCAGAGAAAGAAAGGATAAAAAGCTGAGGACTTACTTTGAAAGAAGACTGGTCCTATCAGAAAAAATATTGGTCAAGGGGAATTTTCTCACCCAAAGATCCCCACACTTCTGTGCCTGCATACCTGTTACATTATTTCACCATCATCTGCAGAAAAAGAATATCAGAATAAAGACCTAGTTATTACAGATAGACAAAGGGATGCTTCACTAATGACTCTTACCTTTCAGAGTGATTGTTCTGGTGCAATTACACTTCCCTTTCTTTTCTATGGAAAGGGCAGATCTGCTGTTTTGAAGTTCTGATAGTGTTACTGCCCTAATGGCCTGTTTTAGGAATATTTAGAATGATTACAGTGGGACTACCAGAGAAATGTGGATTATAAACCCACATGCTCATGAGAAGGGAACGCAGGAAAATTAGAAGATATGATTTTGAGAATCATTGCAATCCATATTGACTTTGTAAGCTGTCCTGTCTGCCCAGATCCATGTGAGCCCAGAGGTCTTGGGATGCCTTATCCAACTGCTCATGACAGTCTACACAAATTGTGAGAAAAAAAAATTTCTTATTCTGAGAATCCAAAACTCAGAAATGTCTGACAGCCCAGACATGCTACCAGGGACAAGCCTACAGTCCTTGCATTATTGATTATACTGACTTATTTTTCCTTTTGTTTTTGCTTTGGGAGGAAGGATGCATTCTGCAGTTTATGCATAATGTAGATTTATCTTGTTATCAGTTGACTTGGTAGACAATCTTTGTAAACAATTACTTTGAAGGCTGATTGGAAGGGCAGCAGTGTTCCTTTCCTTGGTGGGAGTCCTTGGCCTTTCAGGGAAAGATGCTTTTGTCACAATGAAGTCTGTGGAAGCATCTGGACTGGGAGCTTCTTTTGACACTGCCAGTTTGAGAGGCTACTCTTCCAGATCACTTCATGGGAATTTGGCTCCCCACAGGTGCCGAATTTTGAAATATTTGTTTTTCCTTCATGAGTTATTAGGCTCTGGAAGGCTGTGAGGTTGTCAGACCTGGAGAAGGCTAATTTTTGCCTTTGGCCATTGCAAATTAAAAAGCCAAAGCAATGGAAACATTGGAGGATACTTGCTAAGGAAAACATGTAACAGTTGTAACCTTGCAGCCTTTCTCCCTGACTCATGGCCACAGCAATGGACCACAGTTTCAAGACGTAGCCATGAGCTCAGACCCATGGAGAACCTTCTCACCTTCTTGCTTCTTGGTAGTCCACATGCTTTTGCCAGCTGCTAAACTGGCATGGTAGTCCACATGCCTTTGCCACATGCCAAACCCATCTGCTTCTTGTCCAAGTTCCAGCAGGACAAAGCTGTGCCACCATCTAGATAGCAGGAGGATGATGGAGAAATCCACAGGGCAAGGAAAGCACCCTGACCCTGGATCCTTGTTATATGTGTCACAAGGGGTTAACAACTCTCTTTGCAAGCAGTCAGGCCAAGTCTCCAGGAATAAACTCACATTTGAGCTACCAGGTATAAATTGAGGCAGATATAGCAGAAGTAGGAAGGACTACTGACCACATTTCTTCCTTTCCCTATTTGTTTGAAGTCTGTATTGGAGAACACTGTGAGATAAGAGTAGGGCATTTATGCAGATGTTATGGTGTAGGGTCTGTGGTGCTGTACTGAAGATGAGTCAGGGTTGGGGCACATATTAAAATGTCCTTTAAACATCACTGCAAGGAAGTTTTGGAGAGGTCTTCTTCAGTGGTGCCCAATTTATATGCAGAGTTGTCTGTGGCGTTTTGTAAAGGACAGTCCTAGAACTGCAACTGTATCTGAACATGAGAGTCCTTGACTAGGTCTTCTGACGATGATCTAACAGGATGGTTTGTAGGAATGTAAGGATATTGTCAAGCTGATTTTAACACAAAAATGAGTAAATGAGAGAAAAAACTCTATCCCTTGAAAGTGACCTTAGGGCAGAAAATGATGCTGGCCTGGAAAGCACCATGCAAATTTTAGTGGACATATTGACTAAGGACCATGTCCTTATGGAGGTAAGTTGTTCTTTTGGCAGGTTCCACAGCCAAATCTGTTCTCTGGTACATCATCACCTTGAACCTCTCTGTTGCTCCTTAGGCAATGGTTGTGTTGTAAATCAGCCCAAAGCTGGATGCATTCTGGCTAGCCCCAGGTCCTAGATAGTCCCTGAGGATTAACCTGGTGTGGATTTGGGCAGCCTCCAAACTGTCCTGCCAGGTAGGCTCACAGAGGAGGATTTCAGCAGGCCATCACCCATCTCCCCAATGACCACTGGGCTCTGACACATGCAGCAGAATCTGAACAAAGCAAGAATTCTGCCCCCAGCTCCCTGCATGCAGGCTTCAGGTGGAGTGAACATGAATAATAGAAGACCCTGAAATAGGAAGGAGAGCCAACTGTTATGGCCAGTGTGGGAGGCTTCTGCCAGTTTATGCGGCTGCCCTTCCAGCAGCACATATGTAACCACTGTCCTCACCAAATGGGTTCAGTGTGAGCAAGGAGTACTTACATGACAAAACGTGAAAAAGTGCTGTCGCAAAAGCACTTGAATCCAAAAAAAGCATACTTTGAAATAAATAAGGGGCATTGGGAAATTACATTCTGGCAACTGCACAAAGTGTGTGCATTTCCCATAGAACTGAACAAAAATAGATTGTGTCGAAAACAACGATAAAAAACTCATGGGAATGCATGTCTGGCACAGTTTATATTCCACTCCTGGGGCCAAAGTTGGAATATTGAAAATGTGGTGCAATTAGGAATTTTACTTTAAAAATGTAAATATTTCTGTTCCTTATAGAAGTATAAAAAATAATCACATCTTTCTTTGATGATCCACATAAGTGTACAGTAAATAGTCAATCTCAATTCACTGCAAGACAACTGAGTTAAGATACTTACACTGCATTCATAGACAGATTAATATGATGGGATCTCCAGATTCTGCCAAAATAAAACCAGTAATGTCATATAGAGACAAATGCATGTGTGTTTATTTATACATGCACACACATACACTTATAGAGAGATAAAAACACAGTCTTTCTCTTCCAGAATCTGTAAAGGTCATTACATTTTGCTTATTTTTTAATCAAATGCACATCCACAAGTTTGTATAAACAAACTGTCCTGAGACAAACTGGAGGCTTGACACTCCAGTGCACAGCTCTGACACATTCACATTTGTCCTTTAAGATCTGCTAGTTTGAATTAAGTTTTTTCTCTCAAATGTTGCTGTTCCAACTACAGACACATGTCTTTCCTTACAGATGAGGCTGTAAGGCACCTGAACCCATCCTGGCTGATGCCTTTGGGACACTAAAGAGCCTGTCATACAGTCCAGCAGTACCTACCAAGCCCAGCTTTGTGCAGGTGTGCAGAGACACCCAAGCTGAGAAACATGTTAGGGTCAGAGTGTGGTTTTGCTCACTATTGCTATTTTCAGTTTTCAGCAGGACAAAAGTTCTGCAGGAACATTACCACTACATTAGAGCTCAAACCAAAGAAAATATTTCAGCTGGTGCCCTCTTTAACCAATACTTGTACAGAAGCTTTATTCTTCTTGCCAAGAATAACTAATAATTTCATCAAGAATATAATGAGTAACAATTAAATCTATCAGAGAAAAACAAAACAAAACAGCAAAAAATACAAACTGGAACAACCCCACACAATAAAATCCAAACTCACAAAACCAAAAAATAACCCAAATCAAAAGCCCAACAGTTCATGTTCAGTGAAAAATTTGTCTCTTCCCTAGAAGATATCACTTCCAGACTCCACAGCTCTGACTCCCTCCTTCTGGAAATTAGCTCCCAAGAAACTGAAGTTAATTCTATTAATGACTATTTTTAGGAGCACTGACAGTTAATGAGAAACTCAAGGCATGGAATTGTAGTGTTATTCTCCATCCAACAGCTATTTCTACTCATTTTCTCCCAGATTTTGCCCCAAAATAGATGATCTGAAGACTTCAGATCTAAGCTCAGCACTAATAGAAGAAGATTTGCAGGGAGAAAGTTCATTTTTCAAAAATTATCAGATTCCCCAGCTCCCTCAAGGAAAATGAAGCACAACTATTAATTCACTATCAGTCTTTTTAATTTAAATAAAACCCAAGCATCCACGGCAGTGTCTGTAGGTTTTCAAAAGCACATATATATTATGATTTTTTTCACTGGTGCTTCTGGTTTCAGAAGATCTAAGAATTACTGCATCATTGGGTATTTGTGTGTTCCTCTAGTGACATGAAAGAGTTTGATTTTCCAAGAGAAGATGCTGAGCCATCTCTGATAATCAAGACTGATGCCATTCTTTTCCATAAAGATGCTACTAGACTACACTGATATCCTTCAACTCTTAGATCATATAAGCCTCTTCTACTGAGCATGATAACAAATGCTTAGATAAATATTGAGAATTCTCTTAGTCTTTTTACCTCAAGACATTTTCTTCAGCTTAAAAATAATTCTGATGTCTCTTTTCTGCACATCTCCATTTCTCCATATTCTTTTGAATATATAAACACTATAACATATCTGTACTGGTTTTTACTGGTCTCAGGAGTGCTTTATAGAGGGAAGATCTCCCACTCCTATTCTTGATCTCCCTCTTGAAACAAGCAAAAATCTCACTAGCCCCTTTGTCTGCAGACTTACACCAGGAATTGGAGTATAGCTGTTTTTTCATTCTGATCACCAAACTCTTCTAGAAGCACTGCCTTCCAAGATGAAGTCCTTCCATTCTGTAGAAACCTCTTTCTTCTGAAGTAAATGACTTAATAAGGAGCTTGTAGAGTAGGATTTTCTTTAAACGCACAAGTCATCCAAATCATTCCATGCTTCCCTGAGCTCAGTGACATCGCTGTTCATCTGGGTTTTGTGTCATCTGGAAGTTGTATCAGCAACATTTATACTTGCTCCCGTGTGATTGGAGGAGGTGTTGAACAGAAGCAGCCTACTGTCAATTCCTGGGGAACTTCTCCATCTGATGATGATTTTCTGTTGTTAGCTGTTTGGAGAGATGTCTCTGTTAGCCATTTAACAGGTTGTCTTGACAGTGTAGGGCATCAAATGAAATAAGATCCTCAAAACAGATGAAGTTTACTACATCTACACTGTCATTTTATTTCATTGCTTTTAAAATGAGAAGGTTTACTTTTAATGACAAATTCAGCACTCACTATATTGACTTTAGAAACTCTAGTCACATTTTTCTGAAATTACAGGTGATTATGAGAGCCCAAATTGAGGTACATAAAAAGGAGCACTTTTCTAAGAGACAGTATTCTGTAGTTTCTGAATATCAAGGATGACAAACAACAGATTTCAATGGAAATCAACAGCTGTTCATTTACTGAATAGCAACACTTGTAAACAGAACTTGTAATAAGTCCCAAAGCTCATACTCCTTGGAAAATACAGTTTGGGGTGAAAAAGGACTAGGGTGAGTGAAAAAGCAAGGGACTTGAGGTTAGAATATATGACATTCTGCATTTCTTCTGAACATATTATCTCAGTAGATGAGGTGGACAGAACACTTGCATTCAGGACCAACAGAAGCCAACTAGAATTTGAATTGCTGATAATCTGATACTCCCCCTCTTGAGCCATGACTTCTTCCCCCTGACAGCAAGATGATTCATCTCAGCTCTAATCAGGCATTTAATTTCACTGACTACATAGCACTACAAGTGCCTAAAAGGTGATACACGGCAGAGGAAATGAACACTTGTTCCTGGGTTAGCAGGTGCCATTTTGTGTTAGGAAACTCCTCAAACTGTATATCTGGTTAAACTGATGGTGAATTGATTCTGAAAGTGGCAGGACCTGTTTCATTTACACTGTTTTGCTGTTTCTTCAAGTGGATTCCTTCCATCCAAGTTTTGAACTTGGCCTTTCTGTTTGCTCAGAGACAATCCTCATTGGCATAAATAACAATTTTACTTGAGTATGTAAATGGCTACTTAATTCTTGTCATTCTAGATTTACAGTAGGCAGTGGGGAAGTTAAGGGGTTTGAGTCCACAGAACAATAAGCACAGGCAGAATAAAGGGTATGAGATGGAAGAGATTCAACTGAGGAAGAATAATGGGGAATATGTCAGAACTTGACTCATGCATTACAGGCACAAGTTTTTTTGTATTGTTTATAGAACTGAAGATTTTTTTGATAAATATATTTGGGTTTGGCAATGGATTTTGTAATTCAATAATGGTGACATATTCCATTGAGGACAGAAAAGTGTGAAACTATGGATCCACACAACTGTAAGTTTTGTTGTTGCTGGAAAATTCATTGCTGAATGATTGCTATTAAAAACAGTTAGTTAAAATATGAACTCTTTCCATGGAGAACTACTGTGGAAATTACTAGGCTGCCAAATTGAAAGAGACTGTTACAGATGATGAGATCAGGATCTCTTCTTTCTGGGCTAGCTGTGCAGCCAGAGCAAGGACACAGTAATGATAGTCTCTCTTGCCTGACACGAGGTAACAAAGGGCAGGATTTAAAAGCTGGTACTCCACCAGCATGCTTGCTAAAGTCACTTTCCTCAGGGTAGAAAGGGCTTTACCCTGGAACACACCCCTGATGTTAAGTGCACACTTCTGCCTCTCTGTACACCACCTGCAGCATTGCAGGCTCAGCAGGGTTCACTGGGACATGGTTCAAGAGCAGGTCTTGGGAAGGACTGGAGAAAAATATTCTCATCAGGCAAAACACTGAAAGCTGGCAGAAAAAAAACAGGCTTGTAGTTGGATGTTGGATGGACTTTGTTAGGTCAGGTTTACTAAATTTACTACATTTTCATTGACCTTGGTAAAGACAAAGCTTGTAAGTCTGACATTCATCTGTTCTGCACTCTGTTCATTGTCCTCCATGTCATCAGAAAATATCTCATCCTCTGAGCTCTGACAAAGTATTCCCAACCACTGTCTGAAGCATGTTGTCTGGAATTGTCCTGTGGGAGACAATTGCTATTTCTCACCTGTTAGTTCTAATCACCTCATTTTTCACCGCTGCAAATCCGGTGAAGGGACAAGAACGACACTCAAAGCAGGTAAGCAGTGTGTTACGAAAACTGCATCTGTTGGCTAGGAGGAAAGGAGATAACAAATCTTTAGGTTATTTCCTTGTGAATTCTGAGGCGAATATTCTGCCTAATCCTTTTTCAGTACAGAAGGATTTCTGTAGGTTGCATATTCTCTTTCTTTTAAAGAAGATATTTACAGCTGAACTAGAATGGCACAAAAAAATTAGTAGTAACTAATGAAACTCATTGGAGAGGTGTGAATCAATACTCTCACTATCTAACTGTTCACTCTGCTAGACATAACACATATTTTTGACAGCTGTCCTCCTTATGAGGATTTAAAAGCAATTTAAATATCAATACAAAGTCTTTGGAACTGAAAGCATCTAAGGAAACCAGATGACACCAACTTGAACTACAAAGTTTGCTGCCATCCTTTGAGATACACAAACCTCAAGGTAAGTTTCACTAGACACAAATGTTTTGGGCTGTTTTGAAACTTTTTTTAGAAAGAAGCATTTTTTAGAGTTCTGCCACTTAGGAATCTCTTATTCAAATTATCCGAGTTTTGCATAAAAACATCAAAGGCTGGCTCTTGAGGATGTCTTCAGAGAAGTGATCTCATTTTAAGTCTGGGAGGATGAGAGTCTCTGACAAATGAAGGGAGTCCTTGATTAGATGGCAAAAGACACTATGCTGCTGGTAAATTCCTAGAAAAAAAGACTGCCTTGTATGGGTACGAGAAAACCCCAGAGATGAAAACTCTTCTAATCCTAGAAGATTCTATTAAATGAAATATTATATGCTCACAATACACCTAGTGCCTGGAAGGCACTAATTACTAACCCTTTTCTGCCTGGGGGCTTCCTCAAAGTTTAGATATGTCTCAGCCTGATCACAACCAGATCAATCCCATCAATGGTGTGAGAAGGTTTTTAAGCCCCCAAACCTGTGAATGAGCCAGTCTGGCATTTCTAGCTAACCACCCTCCAGAGTGACTAAGCTATGCACCTGCCCACGATGTACAGGTGTCAGCTCTCCTGCTGCACTTGATTCTCAGCCATTTTCATGTATTTGGCTACCTGCTGCACCAGCAGGGCTTCCACAGGCAGCTGTGGTCAGGGCATGCCAGCACTGTGGCATGGCATAAGTGGGGCTGTGCTGGCAGCCCCCTGGACACTGCAGCAGTTCTTAGAGCCTGACGACAGAGCAATTTTCTGCAGTCCAGAGAGAACTCCTGGTCTGCCCCCAGATGGCTTGGCTTGACTTTGAAGAGGTTCCTCAAGAAGGACAGTGCTAAACAACAGTGAATTTAACTTTAAAAAAGTACTTACAATGGCCTGCAGCATAAAATGAAGCCACAAGATGTTGCTTGAAGGCATTCCAAAGCTCAGCTAGCAGAGGTGTCTCCTGCCTGTTACAGGGCAGCAATATCACCCACACAGGCATGGTTTACTCACTTCACTAATCTACCTGGTCTGTAACACTTTGAAGATCCAACTTGTGAACACAGCTCCATTTGAAAATACATACACAACCAGAATTGGGTTCCATTTGGAAATTAATTAAATTTAGAACTGGCTTTGATATCCCTGTCTGTGTGAAAAGTGTCACAGAGATTGCTGTATTTTGCTGCCACCTTATTTTTTTGAGGTCAGGTCTTTCAGTATGTTGCTAATACAAACTCACATTTGACTGCTTATCTTACCCTAAGCCCTTATGAAGCTCATTGCAAAGCCATTTGAGCAATGCTGAATGTTTAATGAAATCAATTATCAAACAGCCATGTTGTCGCAGCCTTAGACGTTTTAGCAGTTAATTAGCTTGATGCATAAAAATAAGACTCCAACAGATTTTTCTGGAACCCCAAAACGTTGGCCAGTGTTCAGAGGTGATAACAAACCGGGGGGGATGCAGTTTTCATGCATTCCACGGACCTCACTTTCAAGAAGCGTTTAGTGAAGCACTGAAAAACATGGCACCCGTAATTGCTACTTACTCTCATTAAAACATTTAAGCTTCCTCGTGATGACAAGCAGCACCCACTTGCCACTGTGCTAAGTAGTCTCTGCAGCATGGCTTGGAAGAGCGTCTATGCTGAGCGTTGGCACTCAGCAGTGTTTAAATTGGACTTCTTCCCCCATTTTTAAACAATTGTTTCTTCCTCCAGCTAAATTTTTCGTGGACCTTAAACAACCAGCTGACAAACAGGATGTTCTTGCTAGCACCACATCACCCCTCCCATCCTAAATAATATAGATGAATATAAATCCACAGCACTTCCATGCGTATGAATGATGTGCAGAAGAGCTTTAAGGTGGTGCATGGCCGTGAAAAAGCACAGCACTAACCAGCTATGAAACGCTACATGCACTGCGGTCCTCCCCTGAGCGGGGACGTGTCCGCTCGTCGGGAATCCCCGCTGGTGCCAGGGCGGATGCCCGGACACCCCCGCAGGGAGAAGGCGCTCAAGGCGTGGGTCCCCGGCAGCGCGGGGGTGGCGGGGGCCCGGTGCGGGGCGGGGCCGTGCCCCGGCAGGGCAGCCCGTGCGGGGGCAGAGATGCCCGATCCTGCCGTGCCCCGCCGCGTCCTGCCCGACCTGCGCCGCCGCCCGCCCCTTCCCGCTGCCCACGGGCGATCCGCCGGGCGCGCCTCGTCCCCGGGCCGCTGACCCCCGGCCCCGGGCTCTCCCCCCTTCTCCTCCTCCTCCTCCTCCTTCTTCTCCTCCTTCTCCTCTCCCCTTCCCCTCACCCTCCCCCTTCCTGGCCGGGCTGCGCCCCCCCGGCCGGCCCCGGCATGAGCATCTCCATCCCGGCGGGGCTGACGGAGCTGCTGCAGGGCTTCACGGTAGAGGTGCTGCGGAGCCAGCCCGGGGACCTGCTGGAGTTTGCCCTCCAGTACTTCGGGCGCCTCAAGGAGGAGGCGGCGACGGCCAAGGAGGCGGCGGAGAAGGAGCCGAGCGGCCGCAGAGCGGGCACCGGCCATGACAGGGGCACTCAGCCGCCGCGCCGGGCTCCCCCCGACGCCCGCGGGGTCAACTTCGCCGAGGAGCCCATGCAGACCGACTCCGAGAGCGGCGAGGACGAGCAGCCGCCGCCGCCGCCGCCGCCGCAGCAGTTCCCGGGTAAGGCTCCCCCGCCTCGCCGGGCCCGGGGATGGGGCGCGGGTGCGGCCGCCCGGGCTCAGGTGCGCGGCCGGCGGGGATGCGGACACGGGCAGGGCAGCGGCGGCACGGCGGGCACGGACCGCCCGCGCTGACGCCAAAGAGCGGAGCCCGCGGGAGGCTTCCCGGAGCCCGCGGCAAACTTTAACCTCCCCGGCTTTCCCCGGTGTCCGCCGTGCTGGGTGTTTGGCGTACAGGTATCAGCAGCTGCATCGCTTGTAGCGTGTGAGCCTGTAATAGTCTAGCGAAGGTCTATCTATATATTTCCTTTTTATAGGAGAAATCTGCATTCCGTAATTAGTGCAAGGGTATGAAAACCTCAGAAGCCATCTCTCATGGGCATGTTACTGTATTCACGCACTTGATTAAGCGTTTTGCGTAGATGTACTTATTTGTGTTTTAGAAAGTAGAGCATAATTTAAAACATAATTTTTTCCTGAAAGCCAAAGTGAAATTTTCTGCATTTAGAAGGGCCTGTGGAACAAGTGTTGCTGTGACAGCAAAGAACATTTGCGGTATCTTTGTGTTTGAAGGTAACACCGATCTACACGCAGCTAACGACACCTTCTCTTTGTGTGGCTGACAGGTTTTATTTAGAGACTGTGTCAATCCATCTGCTGGTGTGGGTTACGGGACGGGTAGGAGCTGCCTCTGAAGGGTGCACCGTGCTTTGTGTCATGAGCAGGCTGACACAGTAGCTTAGATGGAGAAGAGGAAAGCGTCCAAGCATCTTTATCTTAGTTTTTTTGAGGATACCTTGAAGTGTATCTCATCATATCGTCAAAGCAGTCATCATCCCTCCAAGTTGTGCTGGCGGTAGATTTACTTAGCAGAGTACAGAAGGCAGTTGTTTGCTAGTTGGATTTCAGTGCGGGTTTTTTAATGATGTGTTACGTGTGTTTCATCAGGAAATGTAGATAAACAAGTAGGCGTTTAAGAAGTGGGTAAGTTTTCAAAATGCTTCGTGTTACCCCATAAGACAGTCGCCATTCTTTTCATCTGTTCTTTGCAGCTATACCCACGTGTATTTAATGAGAAATGGAATCTGTCAATCAGGTTCTGCAGATTTATGTGGCAATTTTAAACTCTAATGCTGATTATGTGAGATTAGTAGAAATTTGAAAATTTGTTGTCTTTAAAAACTGAAATGGTCATAATGTGGAAGAAAAAATTATTACCTTAATTCACTAACACTGGATGTGGTCTTTCAAGCATTAATTATTCTAACACTAAACAATCTCATTGGTAAATGGAAAACTGGAATGTTGTATGGAGGGAAGTGCAGAAAAGTAGTTTTATTTATTTATGTGTTACATACCAGTAACTTTACAGAGTGCTCTAAGAAGCTTTCTAATCTTTTTGAATGAATACTAGTAATCAAGGCTTTTTGTTGTGATTGTGAAGAGAGAAAGCCATTATTGTCAATATTCTCATTAAGGGACATGCTAGAATCTCTTAGTGTGATGAATTGATTTACTTGTTTGACCAAAACCCTTTAAAATACCACATTTTTAAGCCTAATATATTTTGAACGTTTAATTGTATTATGGTTTGTAAATTCTGTCAGTTCAAATAATTATTAATTAAAAGAAACAAAAGGTGAAAATATTTGTGAAACCATGTGAAGGGTAATACGAAGTAACTCATGGTAAATGATTACTAATAGTTGGCTTGTGTATGTGTGCATTGTGCAGGAGTGTGTAGTTTAAATTCAAATTTTATATCTGCCCTGAATATATTCTTCTAAGGTAACATAACAATGCATCCCCTCAGCCTTTTGTTAATAACTGGAGGCATAAAGGCTTGTACTCAAATATTTGTTTAATGGGTTTAGATTCCAATTTAAAAGCATGTTTCTTCTATGCTTTTGCTTTCTGTTTCTAGAAGTAGCAATTTTTAAGAACTGAAGTTTGGGGGAAAGTTTTAAATTTTTTTTTGCCTTTATGAATTATTGAACTTCTTCTGTATGGCAAATTTGTCCTGTTTGCATCCTTAGGAGAGAGCAATAAATTTGGAAAGTTGATAATCAAATGTAAAATGAAAACCTCTGTGAAGGAGGTCAGACCTGGTGGTGGTATCTTTCCTTTGCTAAAGCTGTACATTTGAAATATCAAACTGACAGTATTCCTTAATTAATTCAATCAGAGCATTGCTGAGCTCTCACTGTAAATGCTCCAAACCTATTTTTTTTCCTACCAAATGTTTATAAATACCTACAAGCACTGCAGTTGAACTCTTTGTCAGTATTAGTTTTGTCCTTGAAATGTATTTTGGAAGGTACATGAGCATTATCCTATTTCAGAAATGATGAGCTGAGGCATAAGCTGTGTTAAAAAGAAAAAAACCCTGTACTCGGGATTAAGAGTTATATGTGAACCTTGAATTAAACTCTGTTGAGTCTCTCCTGTGTCCATTACCTCAGCTGCACAAATCACATAAAGGCAAAAGCAGTTACCTTGTCTGAAGGGAGAACTTTGTTGTATTGGTGTCATAGTATTGAATTGGCACTTGGAGTTAGGTCACCTCAGAAATGATGTTCTTTATGTCAGAGCATTTCGATTATGCTTTTTGGAGCACACGGTTTAATTTGGGAATGCTTTTCAGTTTTTCAAGTTGATTCATTTGTTTGGTTTAAAAAAAAAAAAGTACTTGTCCTACATGGGTGTATTGACATTAATTAGTTATAACAACTAATTCCTACTAAAGCAAATAGCAGACACTAAATTGAATAGGAAATATACATAAAAATGACCCCTATTTTAGAAAATGTGTCTTAACTTCTAGCAGGTCTGAAGTGCATATTAACATTTATTATACTGTGTCTGCAAAATTTGAAAATGCTCATTAAATTATTTGTTCTTTTTACAGTGACTACACTTTTCTTCTGACTTTACCACTTACATGTTGATTTGCAACTTATTTTGATGGGCAATAACCTATGCAATTTGTAACAGTCATTTTCAAATATTTTCCGTAGATAGAAATAAGTATTTAATCTAGCCTTAATATGAATTAGTAGGGGAGTTTTTTGAGGTAACATTGCTGTTCTTTAAAAAATTATAAAGCTGTATGTATCATTTGGCAAGACATAGCCTCTGTTTACTGTATTTTTCTTTTGTTTTGCTTTACTTCAGTTTGTTTTGGTGTCTTTCTCAGATAGTGGTGTATTTTAACAGGAAAATACTCCAGCTGTCCCTCTCCTCCCCCGTGTGCTTCTGTTGGTGTGTTGGTTGCTTTGAGTTCCTCCTTTGAAAACTTGAGCTAGAAATTGCAAGTCTGTATCTCAGCTTAACCCACTGATTGTGCCTAAATAATGTGAGATCACTGTTTAGGTAAAAGATACATCTTCTACCTTACCATACCAATTTTAAAGGCCTGTCTTTATTTTAGTTCATTTATTCAGTCTGAAGTGATTACAGATGTACTGTTCATAGAAAATTTGAAAAATAGGTAAATTGTAGAAACCAGAAAAAAACGCACATAACTACAATTGTGTCACATGTAGGTAATGGGTAAATTAGAGCAGTGGAAGGGGTCAATAACGAAAAAGGAGCAATGTAAAAATAAATACAAGTTGTAGTAGGATATTCTGAAATGAGGGGCTGAATAGAAAAGCATATGAATTTCTTATAATTGTATATATTCAAACTAAAATCTGCAGTATGGTGGATAGTGGCTGAAATTGCTACCATCTGATATGTACTCAGCCAACCTTAGAAATGAAGTTTTAATAATTTTTACAGTCACTCCTTTGAAATGCAGAAAGAAATAAAGCATTATTTGTGTGATTATAAGGACAAAGCCAATTGGAGCCAGGCTGGGGCAGCCTCACTGTGGATGCCATTTGGAGATGAGTTTCCAGCCACAGACCAGTCCCTGGGGAGTGTGGCACTGCTGGACCACTCCTTGGCAAGGCTTTGGGCCAGATCTCCTTGCAATTTTCTAGACTATATCTGCTGTCCT